AAAGGAAAAGCAATTGTTTTCTAACTTATGGTGATACATACTACAAGCATATTTTATTTCAACTGGAATAACAAATACTAATTTCAATTATTAATTATTATTTCAATTATTAATTTTTTTTTTTGAAATAGTAGATAATGAAAATAATTCAAAAGAGAAAAGAAACATTTGTTTTTTATGTTTTGGTGACACACACATTGTAAGCATATTTTATTTGAAATAAAATAACAAATAATAATTTGAAATAATTAACTATTTAAAATAGTAAATAATACAAATAATTCAAAACAAATGAGAAACGACTTTTTCCCCCCGTTGTTGTGACAGATGGTACAAGCATATTTTATTTAAAATAAAATAATAAATAATAATTTAAAACAATTAAGAATTTAAATTGTTAAACAATGAAAATAATTCAAAACTGAAGAGAAACGATTGTTTTCTACGTTTAGGTGACCCACACATTGCAAGTAAATTTTATTTGAAATAAAATAACAAATAATAATAATACAAATAATAAACAATTAACTATTTAAAATAGTAAATAATGGAACAAATTTTAAACAAGAAATAAACGATTTAAAGGAGTTGTCAGTGTAAAAATTTTATTAACAAAATAATTTGTTATAAAATAATAGTTTATTAATATTTATAATAGTTAATAATAATATTTTATTTGAAATAAAATAACAAATAATAATTTGTAATAATTAACTAATTAAAATAGTAAATAATGGAATAAATTTTAAACAAGAAATAAACGATTTAAAGGAGTTGTCAGTGTAAAAATTTTATTAACAAAATAATTTGTTATAAAATAATAGTTTATTAATATTTATAATAGTTAACAATATTTTATTAACAAAATAATTTGTTATAAAATAATAGTTTATTAATATTTATAATAGTTAACAATATTTTATTAACAAAATAATTTGTTATAAAATATTAGATTATTACAATTTATAATAGTTAACAATATTTTATTAACAAAATAATTTGTTATAAAATATTAGATTATTACAATTTATAATAGTTAATAATATTTTATTAAAAAAATAATTTGTTATAAAATAATAGTTATTTGTTGCTAACGTTGCTTTCTGTTTTGTTTCAGGTGAGTTCAAATGTTATGACACCATAAGCGAAGTAAATGCAGCTACGTAAGTAATCCAAAAACGTTCTCCGTGCTTGAAATTCTCGGTGAAACTGTTTTGGGGAGGGAAATGCCGGTGTGTATCGTGTATCTCTGATATGGAAAATTCATTTTTCCCCAAAGGCTAATTTCCACTCCGCTGCTGTATCGCAGCCAACCCCAGATACGCAATTATTTTCCAGCCAAAAATACTTTAATCGCCATTTTTCAGTCGTGTTACCACGCTGATTGTGACATCGTTATCTTATTCGTGTTTTTTTTTTATTTTAGCGTGGTTTTTAGTGTTGGATTATTTTTTGTCATAATTTGTATGTATACATATAATATGAGGATTTTAAATTATTCATTAATATTAGAAATACCAATGGGGTCAAATTGATCCATTTGTAATTTTTAATAAAAATTGTGAATAAATTTACTTGACTGGATTTTTGAAAATTTATCGTGATTTTCTAGAAGAAGAATGGATAAATATAAGTATAATCTCTAAGTATATATGTAATGTGAGGTTTTCAAATTATTGATTAACACTAGAAGTACCAAAGAGGTAAAATCAACCCATTCGACTGGAGTTATTACTTGTAATTGCGGTAGTCTGTTTTCAAATTCATAAAAAGTATTTCAGTATCACAAAAAGATATTGAATTCTTGTGAATCGTTTATATTAATCTTGTGAAAGGTCTATATTGATCTTGTATTATGGTTGTCAGTTTTCAAATACTAAGAACGTATTTCAATTTCACAAGGAAGTACACTCAGTTACATTGTGTGAATCACAAAACATTGCTTGTGAAAATTGTATATTAGCCTTGTATTTTTGAAATGATTGACTCTATGTGAAAGGTTGTCATTTGTAATTGGCATTGTCAGTTTCCAAATACTAAAATCGATTTTCAATATCACAAAGAAATACACAAAGTTATATTGTGAACCACAAAATATTCCCTGTGAAAATTTTCTCTTATTCTTGTACTGTTCACAAATACCTACTTAATAATATAAAATCACATTTGAATTTCATAAAAAAATACACCCAGTTACATTGTGAATCACAAAACATTGCTTGTGAATTCTTTATATATTAATCTTGTGAAAGTTCTATATTAGCCTTGTATTTTTGAAATGATTGACTCCAATTCTGAGATTGTCATTTGTAATTGGGGTTGTCAGTTTCCAAATACTAAATTCACATTTCAATTTCATAAAAAAATACACTCAGTTACATTGTGAATCACAAAATATTCCCTTTGAAAATTCTTTCCCATTCTTGTACTGTTCACAAATACCTACTTAATAATATAAAATCACATTTGAATTTCATAAAAAAATACACCCAGTTACATTGTGAATCACAAAACATTGCCTGTGAATTCTTTATATTAATCTTGTGAAAGTTCTATATTAGCCTTGTATTTTTGAAATGATTGACTCCAATTCTGAGATTGTCATTTGTAATTGGGGTTGTCAGTTTCCAAATACTAAATTCACATTTCAATTTCATAAAAAAATACACTCAGTTACATTGTGAATCACAAAATATTCCCTTTGAAAATTCTTTCCCATTCTTGTACTGTTCACAAATACCTACTTAATAATATAAAATCACATTTGAATTTCATAAAAAAATACACCCAGTTACATTGTGAATCACAAAACATTGCTTGTGAATTCTTTATATTAATCTTGTGAAAGTTCTATATTAGCCTTGTATTTTTGAAATGATTGACTCCAATTCTGAGATTGTCATTTGTAATTGGGGTTGTCAGTTTCCAAATACTAAATTCACATTTCAATTTCATAAAAAAATACACTCAGTTACATTGTGAATCACAAAATATTCCCTTTGAAAATTCTTTCCCATTCTTGTACTGTTCACAAATACCTACTTAATAATATAAAATCACATTCGAATTTCATAAAAAAATACACCCAGTTACATTGTGAATCACAAAACATTGCCTGTGAATTCTTTATATTAATCTTGTGAAAGTTCTATATTAGCCTTGTATTATTGAAATGATCGACTCTAACTCTGAGATTGTGATTTGTAATTGGGATTGTCAGTTTCCAAATACTAAATTCACATTTCAATTTCATAAAAAAATACACTCAGTTACATTGTGAATCATAAAATATTTCCTTTGAAAATTCTCTCCCATTCTTGTACTGTTCACAAATACCTACTTAATAATATAAAATCACATTTGAATTTCATAAAAAAATACACCCAGTTACATTGTGAATCACAAAACATTGCCTGTGAATTCTTTATATTAATCTTGTGAAAGTTCTATATTAGTCTTGTACTATTGAAATGATCGACTCTAACTCTGAGATTGTTATTTGTAATTGGGGTTGTCAGTTTCCAAATACTAAATTCACATTTCAATTTCATAAAAAAATACACTCAGTTACATTGTGAATCACAAAATATTCCCTTTGAAAATTCTTTCCCATTCTTGTACTGTTCACAAATACCTACTTAATAATATAAAATCACATTTGAATTTCATAAAAAAATACACCCAGTTACATTGTGAATCACAAAACATTGCTTGTGAATTCTTTATATTAAACTTGTGAAAGTTCTATATTAGTCTTGTATTATTGAAATGATTGACTCCAATTCTGAGATTGTCATTTGTAATTGGGGTTGTCAGTTTCCAAATACTAATATTTCATCCCAATTTCACAAAGAAATACACACGGTTAGATTGTGAACCACAAAATATTGATTGTGAAAATTCTCCATTACTCTTGTATTTTTTGGAAATAAATTGCAATAGAAATGACTGATTCTGTGTCTGTAGTTGTCAGTTTCCAAATACTAGGATTGTATTTCATTCCCTCCAAAAACTACACGATTCAATTTTTCACCCCAAATCTTCTAAAAATCTTCTATTTCACTTTTTACAAATTATTTGCAACAGACACGACTCCAAGCTTCTCCATTTTCTCATTTTTCAAAAGCTCGTTAAAATTGAATCTCAATTGGGGTTGCCATTTTACAAATACTAATATTTCATTTCACTATCACAAAGAAATACACAAAGTTACATTGTGGACCACAAAACATTGTTTGTGAAAATTCTACATTGCCTAGCTCTGTGAAAGATTGTTAAAATTGAAGGGTAATTGGGGTTGTCAGTTTCCAAATACTAAAATTTCATCGGAATTTCACAAAGAAATACACACAGTTACATTGTGAACTCTAAAATAATGTTTGCAAAAATTCTGCATTTTCTGATTCTGTGAAAGATCATTAAAATCGAAGAATAATTGGGGTTGTCCGTTTCCAAGTACTAAAATTTCACAAAGAAATACACTCAGTTTCATTGTGAATCACAAAACATTGCTTGTGAAAATTCTCTAATTCTCTTCCATATTTTGCAAATACTCTACATCTGGTGTAATCAATTGTAATTCAGTTTGTCAATTTCCAAATACCAAAAGCTCAAAAAAATACACAATACTGTTCACAAATAAATTGCAACAGTAAGAACTGACTCTGTGTCCAGTGTTATCAATTGTAATTGGGATTGTGAGTTTCCAAATACTAAGATCACATTTAAATTTCACAAAAAAATACTCTCAGTTACGTTGTGAATCACAAAACATTGCTTGTGAAAATTCTCTAATTACTCTTGCATTTTTCACAAATAAAGAAATTGCAATAGAAACGAACTACGTCTGGTGTTATCAATTTTAATTCAATTTGTCAGTTTCCAAATTCCAAAACCTCATTTCACTTCCCGTCAAACAAATAAAAAAAATACACAATATTGTTCACAAATAAATTGCAATAGTAAGGACTGACTCTGCGTCTAGGGTTGTCAATTATCATTAGGTTTGTCAGTCTCCAAATACTAGGATCGTATTTCAATTTCACAAAAAAATACATTCAGTTACATTGTGAATCACAAAACATTGCTTGTGAAAATTCTCCAATTACTATTGTGTCTTTTGGAAATAAATTGCAATAGAAATGACTGACACTATAATCTGAAGTTATCAGACTCCAAATACTAAAATTACATTTCGATGTCACAAAAAATTACACAGTTACATTGTGAACTCCAAAATATTGCTTGTGACAATTCTCCATTTTCTCGTTGAGTGAAATATTGTTAATATAAAAGTGTAAATGGGGTTGCCATTTTACAAATACTAATATTTCATTTCACTATCACAAAGAAATACACAAAGTTACATTGTGGACCACAAAACATTGTTTGTGAAAATTCTACATTGCCTAGCTCTGTGAAAGATTGTTAAAATTGAAGGGTAATTGGGGTTGTCAGTTTCCAAATACTAAAATTTCATCGGAATTTCACAAAGAAATACACACAGTTACATTGTGAACTCTAAAATAATGTTTGCAAAAATTCTGCATTTTCTGATTCTGTGAAAGATCATTAAAATCGAAGAATAATTGGGGTTGTCCGTTTCCAAATACTAAAATTTCACAAAGAAATACACTCAGTTTCATTGTGAATCACAAAACATTGCTTGTGAAAATTCTCTAATACTCTTCCATATTTTGCAAATACTCTACATCTGGTGTAATCAATTGTAATTCAGTTTGTCAATTTCCAAATACCAAAAGCTCAAAAAAATACACAATATTGTTCACAAATAAATTGCAACAGTAAGAACTGACTCTGTGTCTAGGGTTATCAATTGTAATTGGGATTGTGAGTTTCCAAATACTAAGATCACATTTAAATTTCACAAAAAAATACTCTCAGTTACGTTGTGAATCACAAAACATTGCTTGTGAAAATTCTCTAATTACTCTTGCATTTTTCACAAATAAAGAAATTGCAATAGAAACGAACTACGTCTGGTGTTATCAATTATAATTCAATTTGTCAATTTCCAAATTCCAAAACCTCATTTCAGTTCCCCTCAAACAAATAAAAAAAATACACAATATTGTTCACAAATAAATTGCAATAGTAAGGACTGACTCTGCGTCTAGGGTTGTCAATTATCATTAGGTTTGTCAGTCTCCAAATACTAGGATCGTATTTCAATTTCACAAAAAAATACATTCAGTTACATTGTGAATCACAAAACATTGCTTGTGAAAATTCTCCAATTACTATTGTGTCTTTTGGAAATAAATTGCAATAGAAATGACTGACACTATAATCTGAAGTTATCAGACTCCAAATACTAAAATTACATTTCGATGTCACAAAAAATTACACAGTTACATTGTGAACTCCAAAATATTGCTTGTGACAATTCTCCATTTTCTCGTTGAGTGAAATATTGTTAATATAAAAGTGTAAATGGGGTTGCCATTTTACAAATACTAATATTTCATTTCACTATCACAAAGAAATACACAAAGTTACATTGTGGACCACAAAACATTGTTTGTGAAAATTCTACATTGCCTAGCTCTGTGAAAGATTGTTAAAATTGAAGGGTAATTGGGGTTGTCAGTTTCCAAATACTAAAATTTCATCGGAATTTCACAAAGAAATACACACAGTTACATTGTGAACTCTAAAATAATGTTTGCAAAAATTCTGCATTTTCTGATTCTGTGAAAGATCATTAAAATCGAAGAATAATTGGGGTTGTCCGTTTCCAAGTACTAAAATTTCACAAAGAAATACACTCAGTTTCATTGTGAATCACAAAACATTGCTTGTGAAAATTCTCTAATTCTCTTCCATATTTTGCAAATACTCTACATCTGGTGTAATCAATTGTAATTCAGTTTGTCAATTTCCAAATACCAAAAGCTCAAAAAAATACACAATATTGTTCACAAATAAATTGCAACAGTAAGAACTGACTCTGTGTCTAGGATTATCAATTGTAATTGGGATTGTGAGTTTCCAAATACTAAGATCACATTTAAATTTCACAAAAAAATACTCTCAGTTACGTTGTGAATCACAAAACATTTCTTGTGAAAATTCACCAATTACTCTTGCATTTTTCACGAATAAAGAAATTGCAATAGAAATGAACTGGTGTTATCAATTTTAATTCAGGTTATCAATCTCCAAATACCAAAAACTAATTTTCCCCCCAAAAAATAAAAAAACTACACAATTTCATTTTTCACCCTGCAACATTGCCTCTAAAAACTTCCCCTAAAAACTAAAAAAATACACAATATTTTTCACAAATAAATTGCAGTAGTAAAGACTAACTTCTATGTCTGAGGTTGTCAGTTTCAAAATACTAAAATCACATTTCAATGTCACAAACAAATACCCTGAAATACCCTGCAATACCTAACTCAACGTCTGTTGCAATCAATTGTAATTCAATTTGACAGTTTCCAAATACCAAAAACTCATTTCACTTCCTCTCAAAAAACTCAAAAAAAATACACAATTCTATTTTTCACCCTGCAACACTGCCTCCAAAAATCCTCCACTACCTATCAGATATCCTCCATTTGCTTTCCTCAAAACTTGCTTAAAATCGACTCCCCAATCACTGTAATGAACTTGTAAATACATGGGGGGTTCCCAAATCAGCCCCCAATATATACACTCGCCACCCAACGACTCGCCCTCTCGAGGTGGATTCCCGAGGTTGCCCATCCCCGATCGCGCAGCGACTGTCCGCATTCTCTGTCACCGGCACGACTCTAGCTACGAGGCCAAAGCCGCGTCGAGCGGCCAGAGAGAGCACACACACACACCCACAGAGCGAGAGAGAGCGCCAGTGGGTGAGCACGACGCTGGTCTGGGTTCGCAGGAGGGCAGGTCGACGCTGCTAGTCTCTCAGTCGAACACCACGCGCGACCTCGAGCGGACCACGACACCGCTCGACCCGCGATTCCCTGCGTCAGTGCATCCTGGATCGCGGTGCGTCGATCCTGGATCGTGGATCCATCCCTGCACGCTCGTGTCTCGTGTTTCTCGCGGGGGACGATGAGAGTCCGGAAGTGTCATGTGAGTTGTCGGTGCATACTGAGGAGGAAGTCGCGGCTCCGTCCGTTTTGGTGATGTGCGCGGGGTCAGGGGACTAGGAAAGGATAGTAGAGGTGAGGAGGGCTCGGAGAAACGGAGAAGAGTCCTTCGAACTGGGTCACTTGCATCGAAAGAGTCGAAGTGGCCTCTGGGGATCAGAGATCAACGAGGATGGTTGTGATTGAGGCGGTTGGAATTCGGTGACAAAGGTGTTGGATCGCTTTTTTTTTGTGATCTGCAGGCCTAGGTAGGCAGTCTGGGGAAAACGCATTGCAGTTTTTTGGGGGAAAATGTACAGTTATGTGGCTGAGCCTCGAAATATTGATTGTGAAAATTGGACACTTTCTTGTGGGCTGTGGGGGATCGTTAAAATGGAAGTATTTTGGGGTTGTCGAATATTAACTCTGAAAATTCTCTGTTACTCTCGTGGTGTTCACAAATAAATTGCAATAGAAATCAACTTTTCAACTTTTCAACTGTTCAATTTTTCAACTTTTCAACTGTTCAATTTTTTCAACATTTCAACTGTTCAATTTTTCAACTTTTCAACTGTTCAATTTTTTCAACATTTCAACTGTTCAATTTTTCAACTCTTCAACTGTTCAATTGTTGAAATTTTTTTTTTGTAATCTGTGTAAAGTCAGATGTAGAAACTGAGAATTCATTTAGGATGATTCCCGTCTTGGGAGACCGGATACTCCCTGGTCAATTATGACATTAAGTGCTCGCTGCTCTCTCGAACTGAACGGTTGCGTGTTTTACGACACTGAGGAGAATGAAAAGACCGCTTCGCCATGCATAGTTGATAACCGGTTCGCTGGTTCCCGTCGAGCTATATTCTACCGTATTTATTATTAACATCGAAGAAAAGAATAAGGCGTTACTCGCGACACCCACGGTCTTTCCTATTTTTATTGCGACCGTACGAGTCCTGCAGGCATTGAAAATCTGACGGAGATAACTGGATCGCGATTCGTTGCATTCGTAATGCCTGGAGTCTCTTGTAAAACCCGACTAGTTTATTCCTTTCTCGAACTTTTTGTCAAAAAAAATTAAGGTTTAAAATATGTTGAATAATAATGTTTATTGAACAATATTTTTTAAACAAATATCGTTGCATGTATGCTCCAGAGTGTGTGGAACAACAATATCGAGTAAACAATGGAAATATTTGTATTGTTTATGTGAATATCGTAATCCAAACCGTTTCGAACCGTTTCGAACCGTTTCGAACCAATTCAAACCGTTTCAAACATTGTTAATGGTAATTTCTAATAATAGAGAAATCGGATCATCGTTGATATAGAATACTAAACAATATTCTACGTACAGTGGATGTCAAAAGTATTTGTACAGTGATTAATTATGATTAGAATATGCTGAATAATAATGTTTATTAAACAATATTTTTTAAATAAACATCGTTACATGTATACTCCAGAGTGTGTAGAACAACAATATCGTAATTCAATATAAATCAATTTATATAAATATCGTAATTCAAACCGTTTTGAACCGTTTTGGACCGTTTCAAACCGGTTTCAAACCACTTCAAACTGCATAAATGGTAATTTTCCATAATTCAGAAAACATGTTATTGTTAATATAGAATATTTAACAATATTTGAAGCAACAATGGTCGCCAACTTTAAGTCTGTACCATTTCAAACCGTTTTGAACCGTTTCAAACCAATTCAAACCGTTTCAAACCACTTCAAACTACATAAATGGTAATTTTTCATAATTCAGAAATCACATCATCGTTAATATAGAATATTTAACAATATTTGAAGCAACAATGGTCGCCAACTTTAAGTCTGTACCATTTCAAACCGTTTTGAACCGTTTCAAACCAATTCAAACCGTTTCAAACCACTTCAAACTACATAAATGGTAATTTTTCATAATTCAGAAATCACATCATCGTTAATATAGAATATTTAACAATATTTGAAGCAACAATGGTCGCCAACTTTAAGTCTGTACCATTTCAAACCGTTTTGAACCGTTTCAAACCAATTCAAACCGTTTCGAACCACTTGAAACTGCAGAAATGGTAATTTCCCACAATTCAAAAATCACATCATCGTTAATATAGAATATTTAATAATATTTGAAGCAACAATGGTCGCCAACTTTAAGTCTGTACCATTTCATATCATTTCAAACTCCATAAATGGTAATTTTTAATAATACAGAAATCAGTTCATCTATATTTGTTTAAAAAATATTGTTTAACTAAGATTATTAATAAGCACTTTAGTCGTAATTAGTCACAGTACGAATACTTTTTACACCCACTATACCATCGAGATCTCGCTGTTTCGAAACGTCTGATAAGCATTTCAAATATTAATCTCGCGTTCAAATTGCTGGAGTTTCGAGATCTATAGACGTTAAAAATCCGGGAGTTGAGCTCGGAGGGATTTCGAACGTTAATTACGGGTTCTTAGTTGCGAAACTTACGGCCGTCGTTACGCGTTGAATCCACAAACGAGAAGTTCCGCGACTCGAGTAAATTGATAACACGGTCGAGCCGGGGAGATGAAAATATACAAAATTAAGCACCAAACATCCGCTGTCAGTGAACCCACGAGAGTTGAAAGATCCCAAGCATATTTATAGGGGTTGGTGATTTTTAAATAATTAGAGGACCCCAAATTAAACGACTTCGATTTTAACGAGGCTTTCTAATATGATACAGGGTGTTCAACCAACCGTGGAAAAAACTTGTCTTGGGGGATTCTGGAGGCCAAAATAAGACGAAAATCAAGAATATCAATTTTTTAATTTAGGCTTCGTTAAAAAGTTATTAACGTTTAAAGTTGCGTGTGTGAGACGGGACTCGCGCACACTGCACACTTTGACTTTAAACGTTAATAACTTTTTAACGAAGCCTCAATTAAAAAATTACTATTTTTGATTTTCGTCTCATTTTGGTCTCTAGAATCCCCCAGAAAAATTTTTCAGAATATAAATAATAAAAATATAAGGGAAGATTTGTCGATTTTCCATTCCCGTTATCGGTTGCATTTTGCTCCAAATGGAGAAAACAAGGGGAAAATACGATAAGTGACCAATTTTCAAATCGAAAAATAAAAACGTAAAAAGCATCTGGACGTAATTTTTAATTGCAGTTGGGAGAATTTTTCAGAATACAAATAATAAAAATATGATGGAGGATTTGTCGATTTTCCATTCCCGTTATCGGTTGCATTTTGCTCCAAATGGAGAAAACAAGGGGAAAATACGATAAGTGACCAATTTTCAAATCGAAATATAAAAACGTAAAAAGCATTTGGACGTAATTTTTAATTGCAGTTGGGAGAATTTTTCAGAATATAAATAATAAAAATATGATGGAGGATTTGTCGATTTTCCATTCCCGTTATCGGTTGCATTTTGCTCCAAATGGAGAAAACAAGGGGAAAATACGATAAGTGACCAATTTTCAAATCGAAAAATAAAAACGTAAAAAGCATTTGGACGTAATTTTTAATTGCAGTTGGGAGAATTTTTCAGAATATAAATAATAAAAATATGAGGGAGGATTTGTCGATTTTCATTCCCATTATCGGTTGCACTAAATGGAGAAAACAGGGGGAAAATATGAGTGACCAATCGTCAAATTGAAAATAAAAACGTGAAAAACATTTGGACGTAATTTTTCTGGGAAAAATTGTAATGGGAGATTCTAGGGGCCAAAATAAGACGAAAATCAAGAATACCAATTTTTTAGTTGAGGCTTCGTTAAAAAGTTATTAACGTTTAAAGTTGCGTGTGTGAAACGGGACTCACGCACGCTGCACATTTTAACTTTAAACGTTAATAATTTTTTAACGAAGCCTCAATTAAAAAATTGGTGTCCTTGATTTTCGTCTTATTTTGGGCTCTAGAATCCCCCAAAAAAAATTCCCCCCAGGATATCTATAAAAAATTATTTAATATTATTTTACACGCATCATTAGGAACATGTGTACTATCAGCTTGCAAAAAAACGCCATTAAGAGAAGTTCCTAGGGATTGTAGGATCTAGGGACTTTAATTTTGTCACTGAAATGGGAAAGTTTCGATGCAAGTGCTCGTTGAAAGGGCTCTTCTATCATCGATGTCTATTTCACGAACAATTTCCTTTCTTTTGGAGTACCTATGGTCACCGTATCGCCTTTCTCGTGGGAAGGTTAATAGCTCAACGAAAAGCTCGTATAACATGATAACGCCGTCCGGGTCGATTGTCATAAACGTTGACAGAGAATCGATTCCGCGAAGAGGGACAGCGTTGTTCTTCCAGGTTACGTGTTAAACGATTACGACGAATGAATCATCGGTTCTGTGTAGGTTTTTCGATTCCGCGACCAGGCAGGTACGCATTAGGCAACGTCGTGGCATGAAATATGTGTGTAGGATCGTTTGGAAAAAAAAGGAAAAATGTAAACAGTCGTCACGTCGAGTGGTGTATTTGATCTGCCATTACGAATGGGTCATTTTGACAGTTTTATTTGATAGAAAATTTATTAACCATTACGCAACCCAATTACTGACGTCTGTAAACTGTTGAAAAGAGATGTGAAAAAATAGTAAATATTTTCATTTCTTCTTGTGTGTAGTTTTATTTGGAAATAAATAATATTGTGAAATGAGTGTTTCATTGTAAATAGAGGAAAATAATATTTCATCAGTATAGTATTTGGAATGGTGGTATTGCAAGTAATAGTATTGCAAGTAGGAGGTTTTTGTTCATTTAATTTTTTATAGTAATATGTACTTTTGTCGATGAAATAGGACGTTTGTGTTTAGAAATATTTTCAAGAAACTTCTCACTGATTAGAAAATGTGTTTAGTTTAAAAATTTGCACGTTTTATTTTCAGTTGACTGTTTTGTATATTTGAATCCAAGTAAAAGTGGAAAATAGTACTTTTTAGTAGTTTAAACGTTTAATGAAATAGTATTTCCAAATAGTATTTCATTTAAGTATGAAATTAAGTTTCATTTAATTATGAAATTAAATTTCATTCAATTATGAAATTAAATTTCATTCAATTATGAAATTAAATTTCATTCAATTATGAAATT